AGTTCGGATTCTGAGCAGGTTCCGTCCTTGCTGGGGAAATCAATGGTTGTCTCCATCTTTAAGAAAGACTCGCGCGATGATTGTGCTAACCATATGTGTAATCATGGGTGTAAGTCTCATCCCAACAGTGTCGAAGCTGTTTGAATCTGGCATGCTCTGAAAACCGCACCAAATGCTTGAACAGCTGACTCGCGAGGACCAACCTGGGTTTCGTGCCGGTCGTGGATGTATCGATCAAATCTTCATCTTCCGGCAACCGCTAGAGCACCATCTGTTCTGTTCTGTCCAGAAAACCATTAACTATGCACTGGGTGCGGCGGCTTTGGTTGCTATCTCCTAGCAGCAACCTCGAAAGGAAATAAAGAAGGAGAAAAGAGTATGAAAAGAGTAAGAGGAGAACTACATTAGTGGAAGAAAGTCTGTGAACGCAAGAGCGCCACTGATCGCGGTATCTAACCATATCCTCCAACGTGTGCAACCATTGAGTGGAAGGGTCTCTTGGACCCCATCCAGGAAGTCTAACACGTCTTACATGGTCAAGTCCACTAGTTAGGCTTTTCATACCTTTCTTCCATGTCATGGACTGACCACCCTTACTCATCTTCCAACCGGTACCCGCCTCAGCAAACACAGTACGCCGAGGGATCCCGTCAGGGGACATGCGTAACACGTGTCCCAACCATCTTAGCCTGGTCAGCTTAAGTGTTTCATTTAATGATCCGATCCGTGAACCCAAGACTTTCCGCCGAAACTCAGCGTTGCTCACACGGTGTTCCTTCCAGATTCGAGCAATACCACGAAGACATCGGTGTTCAAATACCGACAATCTTTGTATGTCCTCCACCCGCAGTGGCCATGTTTCCGAACCATACAGAAGCACGGGTCTGACCGCTGCAGCGTACACTCGGTCCTTGATAGGTAAACGGATGTCATGCCGACGCCACAGATGATTCAGGTTGGCAAATGCCAAGCAAGCCTTCTGTATACTCAAAGACACTTCATCCGATATCCGACCTCCGGGTGAGATGCAGCTCCTTAGATAACCGAGCTTCTCTACCATGTTTATAGTCTCCCCAGGCACTGAAAGGTTTGGCGTTGGACCAACCCAGTCCTGCAACAGCATCTTGCACTTTGAAAGCGCAAAACGATTACCGAACATCGCTACGCAATCCGTCAAGCTGTCTAAAAAAGCTTGCAGCTTACCTGGATCTTCACTTAGAAGAACTATGTCGTCCGCATACTCAAGGTCTGATACTTTTCCACCCGAGGGAAGTTCAATGCCGCTATCCTCACCGGAAAAAAGCGGTCCCTAATACCATATTATTAACAAAGTTAAAGGGAAAAGGAGAGAGGGGCAACCCTGACGTACACCACTTCTCGTGGTGAACTCGAGTGAAAGATCACCGTAAGCAAGAACTCGGCTTCGACTATTAATGTAAATGAATTTTAAGATGGAAATGACTTTCTCTAGTACACCATTCAGCAAGAGGCAGCGCCAGAGAACTGTGCGGTCGAGCAAGTCGAGGGCATACAGGCGGCTACTGACTGGGATCCGGTCGAGCAGTGCGCGCTCAGCCTTCACGCTCAGAGCGATGCCAACGCTAGCCTGACTACGAGCACTAGACACCGAATCACGCGACACGCGAAGAGTGAAACGAAAAGCCGAGCTTGTATCAGGGGAGCGAAATACTACCACTGAAGTTGGGTTTTGTATGCGTGTTTCGGAGACACAACACTCGTCTATGTTAAAGGCTTCAAGAGTCCTAGCTAGGGCAGCCTGTTGCCCCATTTGGCAAAGTGTCCGGACGTTGGAAGCAGCTAAGTGAAAAGGATGTTTAAATTGGAGAATGGATTTTCTTTCCTTACTTTTATTTAATTTGCTACCCTTTCCGAGAGTTACAAGTTCACAGTCACGGCTCACTCTGGCTACTCGTACGCATTTAGAATTCGAACGTCATCACACTTTCCGAAAAAAAACCATTGTGTTTTTAGACACAGACGCGGCCTTAGACTCCGTCAATACAGCTGCACTATGGGTTTGTCTGTTGAGAAATGGAGCATTTGGGAAGTGTGTATCTACCCTCGAGCACTTGCATCGTCACACCTCAGGTACGGTTAGTGCCTAGATCCAGCTTTCGCCCTCTTTTGCCATTTTCAGTGGAGTGCAACAAGGTGGCACCTTATCCCCATTTCCCTTCAACACCGCCATAAAGATATTCCACGGAATGCCTTGGTTGGTCTTCACAATGGTGAAGTTGAACTACTCTCACAGAGCAGAAGTTTCGATTTCGAATATGCTGACGATATCGCCTCGATGAGTGATAATCCACAGGCAATGCAACACGCTCTGAACCCCTTGGCGATTGAGGTATCCAGATATGGTATGCACTTTGTGCCTTCCAAGTGCCAAGTGCTTTTGTAAAATTGGCTGGAGCCTGTGTCTGCACTCATACGTTGTGGTGATTGGCCTGAGTTGGTCGACAACTTCAAGTACGTTGGGAGCTTGATAACAGCTGGAGGTGGTGTCTGAGAAGAGATCAGTTCACGAATAGCGAGAACTACAGCAGCTTTCGCAAACCTGCGACACCTGTGGCATCGCCGTGACACCCAAGTCTCTCCTAAGGGATGGGTGTACGTCACCACGGTTCGTAGTGTTTTTCTCTAAGGTTGTAAGACCTGTCCACTTCACGTTTGTGTGTTTGACAACCGATGCCTTCGAAGCATTACTTGCTTCTGTTGGGGACATCGAGTGAGCAGTGAAGAGGTTCGTTGTCGTGTGTTAGACACGGATAGTCGCCATCTGACTGAAGTGATCGTTCTACACGGCCTCCGGTGGCTCGGTCGTGTTTTCTGAATGCCTGCTCATCGTCTACCTTCCCGTGCTCTGTTCGCACGTACTGGGCAAGGCTGGAAGAAGCAACGCGACTGTCAAGCCGTGGCCTGGCGTAGAGATGTGAAAAAGCTGGCATCGGCATTGGCTACGGTTGCTAACCAAGTACATTGGGTGGTCGTTTTTTAGAGACATTGAGGGACATGGCTCGGAACAGAAGTCAATAGCGCGAACGCTGTGCGGTCTGTCTCCCAAACTCTTATGCTTCATAAATACAAAAGCGTCATTTAGACGAACCAAGCGACAAAACATTAAGGACTGTACAGTGAAAAAGCAAAATAAACCACGGCATATGTTATTGTCTTACTAACGGTTCCATTCGTCATGTTCTACTCCCCTCCTCCATTTTTCTAATTGCAGTTGTTGCGTTGGCAACATGCTGGATTTCAAGCCGGTGAAATATGTACCTTTTGGATGGCGATCCGCCAGTCGATGATGCTCAACGCATCCTATTAAATCTTGCCCTACTCACTCAAGAGGCAAGAAGCAGTGGTCTTACTTAGTTGCAGATCACATGCACGCACGTCACGTTGCTGTCTACGTCTTTTATGTAGAGAGTTTACTGCCAGGAAAAAAACCCGCCACGCTGGCGCGTTGATTTTGTCTGGCTACTCGCCCTCGGCTTGTCTACGATACGTCAGCTCAAGTGTCAGATAAATAGTGTAATTTGGCCGATACTCCCGCGGGTGGGACGAAAACCTGCCTTTTCCTTGCGAATGTAACTCGATGGGGGCAATCCAAAGCGGATTATGGGGACCGACAACTTCAGCGCGAGTGATTAAAGCAAACGTTGCGAGCCCCCTTCCTGCATATTGGGATGGTGGATGCACGGATCCAGCTTGATGAAACCGATTCATGAAGATGAATCTCTTGAAGAAGCTTTTGTGCTCTTAGGTAGATGACATTACTATCCTTGACGAAACCATCAAGGCTAGGGACCTTATGGCGCTTAAAGGAATAAAGGCACGAGCGATTTGCCCCTCGGAAGTACAGACTGTTCGTAGGGAACAAATTGACTGAAAGAAACCGCCGTGGGCAAGCCAGCGCAGAGGACCAGTCAGATTGCTGTTTAAAATGCTCTTCCAAGAACTCAATGTGATGGAATGTGTTAACCCATCGTTGGCGGACAGCCAAGTCGCATTGACAGTCAGCACTGGTGTGGTACCGAGCCCAAGGCTTGAAATAACGGAACCTCGAATGGCAAGACAGCCGACCGCTGAGGTGGATCGATAGATGAGAGATGAGTTTTGTCAGCGTTGCTCAGGCCTCAAGGCGTGGTCGCCCACACTAGTCGGACCAGTGCGTTTTGTGCAACGAGTGGGCGGATGTGAGAGAAACCTATATATTTGTTATTTCCGCCAATAAAACTAGATGATTCTGAGGAAAATCTAAGTTCTCACTAGAATTAGTGAGACGGAAGAAAACACTCAATACAACATAAAAGCTGATAGATGAGATGGCCACTTCCCTCGCTCGCACCAGGCTCCCCGTTGCCCGTCAATCGGAGTTTTTCAAGCTTCTAGAAGTTTCTGGTGATTCAACTTGTCCCCACTCGGCTGCGCGCTGTTATGCATAAATGATCACTTCTAAATGTAGTGTGTGATATACTATGATATGAAGCTTACTCATCGTGTTTGCAACAAGCTAATTTTATGTGTTCCAGGAAAGAGTGGTTAAATCCTAGTCTAGTTCTCAAAAACAAACCTCAGGCATTTCGTCCCATTTATCAATGCGCTGATGTTCATATTCTTCAGGCGTCTAATCAGTTGTCATATTGATGAATTCATGTCTGGAATATGATAGGTGCATGTCAGCACACGGCAAAACAACATTTTTAGATGAAGTGCGAGCAATTGCTGACCATGGGCTGTTCGTGACGACTTTGACTCCCGTATCTAAATAACATACGGAGGATGAGTAAAAATCAGTTTTAACAACAGGGGGTAGGGTAGTAATGGGTTAGGAGTCGGAGAAAAAGCATAGGTTCTAACTAAACGGGACACGTTACTGTCACTGTTGGGTATCTTTATCAACCAAAAATACCAATGTAAATCTCAATGAGACTAGGCCATTCATTCTTGTCATAATGAAGCAAACCCTCACAACTCACCTGATGAACAGCCAGATTACAGACGTCACAGAAAAGAATCACATTTGTGTTTTCACATGTACCATCTTGACAAACCGCGCAAACGGCATCTTCGTCAACACCAGACTGGCTCAGACCCGAAGTAGCACATGTGTTGCCCGTTACCAGAGCTCCATTTGCAGCGACCACACGGAACCTGGCCTCTTTTTCGAACCTATCTATGACCCACTCAAGAACCGTCTCAGATATCGAGGAGAGGGATTTAGTGCGCCGCTCTTTATTGATCCGATCCAGCCAGAATATGTCCTATGAAATAAAGCCAGATGATGACTCGGTATGTGACCTCGCGATGTAACTCTATCAAAAAGAATCACGCACACAAAGAATTCACAACTGCAGGATTGCAGATAGCGAATTTTTGGATGCGAGTTGTTTTATATTCAAAAAACGGTCCTGAAGATAACAGACCACAACACTTGAATATTGGAATAAGGCGCCACGCGAAGACGGCTTCCAGTATAAGTTTGTCAGTTTATAGTTTTTTCAGTGTTAAATAATATGCAAAACGGCGTGCTGGAATTGCATCATTAAATTTTAAGTTCAAGGTTATCACTTTGCACAACACAAAGTATTCCATATTACTTCTCGGCAGTGAATTGTACTAAATGAAATAAAATAACGGGTCCCATTGGAGAATATATATATATATATATATATATATATATATATATATATATATATATATATAGAACACTTGTTTTTTACATTCTTTCAGAAATCTATTGCTAAAGCATACATAAAACCAGTAACACAGAATGTACTACTGACTCGCGACGGTGAACTTTTGAATGCGAAAATTCCAGGTGGATTTTTCATTATCTAAAAACAATATATTGGTCACCTCAATGTTTTTGTTTCGGGTGCCATCCTTTCTCAACCGGGAAAATCATCGAACGAATCGATCTATCTTATGTTGGTCGGATTTTCTGCTAAAACGAACAAAATAGAACATCACTCGTCTCACAGGGGAATTAAGCTAAGTCCACTACATATACAAGGGTGTATTCAGTTGATTTGCATTCACGAACACTCACTTCTTCGTCTAGATCGTACTCCACAATATCATCTAGTTCGTCAGGTGACTTTTCGATAAAGCGTATGTAACCAACACCTTCCCTCAATGGAACCGGTTTTCTGAACGAAAAGTTTGCATCAATTTCAAAAACGGGTTTGGGTAACTGGAATTCTGTTTTCTTCTCGTCAGGTTGCACTAAGTCAATAGAAGAACTACAGTTAATGAGGCCAATATTGTTCGGTAGTTTTTCTTCACTGTTATGTGCTTTCTGAAGACTGTGTCTGGATTTGTTCTTGCTTAGGTTAACCCTGCGTTCGGGCCCTCTGTCTTTATCAGTTTTGAATGAATAAGATGAAAGTTCGTTTTTGATTTTTCCATTATCCCGGCAGAATAACTGAATTCGGAGGACCAGAGGGAAAAAAATACTGCAACGGAATGTTTGTCCACCAGTCATTGGTGTGGCTTCGAATACCACTGAACATCTTGAATCTGTTGGAGTTAATAGATTCATGGGTTTTTGAGTTTGCAAATTTTTGTTGCTCGCGGTACATTGCAAAATGAAACATGATTGTACAGACGATGAACCGTTGGCTGTCAATACATTTCCATTTTGAGAACACTCAACTTGTGGGGCCGGTATTTCAATCGGTGCAGGGGGACGATGAATAAGCATGTGTTTCTGCATATGAGCATATGATTTGTAAATCTTTCCGCAAGTTTCCGCCGGGCACATAAATGGGGGCTTGTTTCCCTGAATTCGAGAAAGGAAATCATCGATATCGAAGTCCACCGGATGGTACACCATCTGAAACTGAAGAAACGAAGAATAATCCAATCACGAAAATTGTAATCAGTTAGTTCCGTAGGCTAAAATTATGATGAGTCTTTGGGTTGAGCACGCGAATCTAAGGCCTATTCACTCAGTTTCCAATCACTGCTTACTACCTTGCCGTTTTATCCTGAATCGAGGAAAGAGAAAATTTCATGTCCGGAAAAAATGAACTGCTTGAGTAACCCGTATGATTCATCCGAGGCGGCACCGACCTCTGACCAATCACTACCCTACCCCCTGTTGTCAAAACTGATTTTTACTCATCCTCCGTATGTTATTTAGATACGGGAGTCAAAGTCGTCACGAACAGCCCATGGTCAGCAACTGCTCGCACTTCATCTAAAAATGTTGTTTTGCCGTGTGCTGACATGCACCTATCATATTCCAGACATGAATTCATCAATATGACAACTGATTAGACGCCTGAGGAATATGAACATCAGCGCATTGATAAATGGGACGAAATGCCTGAGGTTTGTTTTTGAGAACTAGACTAGGATTTAACCACTCTTTCCTGGAACACATAAAATTAGCTTGTTGCAAACACGATGAGTAAGCTTCATATCATAGTATATCACACACTACATTTAGAAGTGATCATTTATGCATAACAGCGCGCAGCCGAGTGGGGACAAGTTGAATCACCAGAAACTTCTAGAAGCTTGAAAAACTCCGATTGACGGGCAACGGGGAGCCTGGTGCGAGCGAGGGAAGTGGCCATCTCATCTATCAGCTTTTATGTTGTATTGAGTGTTTTCTTCCGTCTCACTAATTCTAGTGAGAACTTAGATTTTCCTCAGAATCATCTAGTTTTATTGGCGGAAATAACAAATATATAGGTTTCTCTCACATCCGCCCACTCGTTGCACAAAACGCACTGGTCCGACTAGTGTGGGCGACCACGCCTTGAGGCCTGAGCAACGCTGACAAAACTCATCTCTCATCTATCGATCCACCTCAGCGGTCGGCTGTCTTGCCATTCGAGGTTCCGTTATTTCAAGCCTTGGGCTCGGTACCACACCAGTGCTGACTGTCAACGCGACTTGGCTGTCCGCCAACGATGGGTTAACACATTCCATCACATTGAGTTCTTGGAGGAGCATTTTAAACAGCAATCTGACTGGTCCTCTGCGCTGGCTTGCCCACGGCGGTTTCTTTCAGTCAATTTGTTCCCTACGAACAGTCTGTACTTCCGAGGGGCAAATCGCTCGTGCCTTTATTCCTTTAAGCGCCATAAGGTCCCTAGCCTTGATGGTTTCGTCAAGGATAGTAATGTCATCTACCTAAGAGCACAAAAGCTTCTTCAAGAGATTCATCTTCATGAATCGGTTCCATCAAGCTGGATCCGTGCATCCACCATCCCAATATGCAGGAAGGGGGCTCGCAACGTTTGCTTTAATCACTCGCGCTGAAGTTGTCGGTCCCCATAATCCGCTTTGGATTGCCCCCATCGAGTTACATTCGCAAGGAAAAGGCAGGTTTTCGTCCCACCCGCGGGAGTATCGGCCAAATTACACTATTTATCTGACACTTGAGCTGACGTATCGTAGACAAGCCGAGGGCGAGTAGCCAGACAAAATCAACGCGCCAGCGTGGCGGGTTTTTTTCCTGGCAGTAAACTCTCTACATAAAAGACGTAGACAGCAACGTGACGTGCGTGCATGTGATCTGCAACTAAGTAAGACCACTGCTTCTTGCCTCTTGAGTGAGTAGGGCAAGATTTAATAGGATGCGTTGAGCATCATCGACTGGCGGATCGCCATCCAAAAGGTACATATTTCACCGGCTTGAAATCCAGCATGTTGCCAACGCAACAACTGCAATTAGAAAAATGGAGGAGGGGAGTAGAACATGACGAATGGAACCGTTAGTAAGACAATAACATATGCCGTGGTTTATTTTGCTTTTTCACTGTACAGTCCTTAATGTTTTGTCGCTTGGTTCGTCTAAATGACGCTTTTGTATTTATGAAGCATAAGAGTTTGGGAGACAGACCGCACAGCGTTCGCGCTATTGACTTCTGTTCCGAGCCATGTCCCTCAATGTCTCTAAAAAACGACCACCCAATGTACTTGGTTAGCAACCGTAGCCAATGCCGATGCCAGCTTTTTCACGTCTCTACGCCAGGCCACGGCTTGACAGTCGCGTTGCTTCTTCCAGCCTTGCCCAGTACGTGCGAACAGAGCACGGGAAGGTAGACGATGAGCAGGCATTTAGAAAACACGACCGAGCCACCGGAGGCCGTGTAGAACGATCACTTCAGTCAGATGGCGACTATCCGTGTCTAACACACGACAACGAACCTCTTCACTGCTCACTCGATGTCCCCAACAGAAGCAAGTAATGCTTCGAAGGCATCGGTTGTCAAACACACAAACGTGAAGTGGACAGGTCTTACAACCTTAGAGAAAAACACTACGAACCGTGGTGACGTACACCCATCCCTTAGGAGAGACTTGGGTGTCACGGCGATGCCACAGGTGTCGCAGGTTTGCGAAAGCTGCTGTAGTTCTCGCTATTCGTGAACTGATCTCTTCTCAGACACCACCTCCAGCTGTTATCAAGCTCCCAACGTACTTGAAGTTGTCGACCAACTCAGGCCAATCACCACAACGTATGAGTGCAGACACAGGCTCCAGCCAATTTTACAAAAGCACTTGGCACTTGGAAGGCACAAAGTGCATACCATATCTGGATACCTCAATCGCCAAGGGGTTCAGAGCGTGTTGCATTGCCTGTGGATTATCACTCATCGAGGCGATATCGTCAGCATATTCGAAATCGAAACTTCTGCTCTGTGAGAGTAGTTCAACTTCACCATTGTGAAGACCAACCAAGGCATTCCGTGGAATATCTTTATGGCGGTGTTGAAGGGAAATGGGGATAAGGTGCCACCTTGTTGCACTCCACTGAAAATGGCAAAAGAGGGCGAAAGCTGGATCTAGGCACTAACCGTACCTGAGGTGTGACGATGCAAGTGCTCGAGGGTAGATACACACTTCCCAAATGCTCCATTTCTCAACAGACAAACCCATAGTGCAGCTGTATTGACGGAGTCTAAGGCCGCGTCTGTGTCTAAAAACACAATGGTTTTTTTTCGGAAAGTGTGATGACGTTCGAATTCTAAATGCGTACGAGTAGCCAGAGTGAGCCGTGACTGTGAACTTGTAACTCTCGGAAAGGGTAGCAAATTAAATAAAAGTAAGGAAAGAAAATCCATTCTCCAATTTAAACATCCTTTTCACTTAGCTGCTTCCAACGTCCGGACACTTTGCCAAATGGGGCAACAGGCTGCCCTAGCTAGGACTCTTGAAGCCTTTAACATAGACGAGTGTTGTGTCTCCGAAACACGCATACAAAACCCAACTTCAGTGGTAGTATTTCGCTCCCCTGATACAAGCTCGGCTTTTCGTTTCACTCTTCGCGTGTCGCGTGATTCGGTGTCTAGTGCTCGTAGTCAGGCTAGCGTTGGCATCGCTCTGAGCGTGAAGGCTGAGCGCGCACTGCTCGACCGGATCCCAGTCAGTAGCCGCCTGTATGCCCTCGACTTGCTCGACCGCACAGTTCTCTGGCGCTGCCTCTTGCTGAATGGTGTACTAGAGAAAGTCATTTCCATCTTAAAATTCATTTACATTAATAGTCGAAGCCGAGTTCTTGCTTACGGTGATCTTTCACTCGAGTTCACCACGAGAAGTGGTGTACGTCAGGGTTGCCCCTCTCTCCTTTTCCCTTTAACTTTGTTAATAATATGGTATTAGGGACCGCTTTTTTCCGGTGAGGATAGCGGCATTGAACTTCCCTCGGGTGGAAAAGTATCAGACCTTGAGTATGCGGACGACATAGTTCTTCTAAGTGAAGATCCAGGTAAGCTGCAAGCTTTTTTAGACAGCTTGACGGATTGCGTAGCGATGTTCGGTAATCGTTTTGCGCTTTCAAAGTGCAAGATGCTGTTGCAGGACTGGGTTGGTCCAACGCCAAACCTTTCAGTGCCTGGGGAGACTATAAACATGGTAGAGAAGCTCGGTTATCTAAGGAGCTGCATCTCACCCGGAGGTCGGATATCGGATGAAGTGTCTTTGAGTATACAGAAGGCTTGCTTGGCATTTGCCAACCTGAATCATCTGTGGCGTCGGCATGACATCCGTTTACCTATCAAGGACCGAGTGTACGCTGCAGCGGTCAGACCCGTGCTTCTGTATGGTTCGGAAACATGGCCACTGCGGGTGGAGGACATACAAAGATTGTCGGTATTTGAACACCGATGTCTTCGTGGTATTGCTCGAATCTGGAAGGAACACCGTGTGAGCAACGCTGAGTTTCGGCGGAAAGTCTTGGGTTCACGGATCGGATCATTAAATGAAACACTTAAGCTGACCAGGCTAAGATGGTTGGGACACGTGTTACGCATGTCCCCTGACGGGATCCCTCGGCGTACTGTGTTTGCTGAGGCGGGTACCGGTTGGAAGATGAGTAAGGGTGGTCAGTCCATGACATGGAAGAAAGGTATGAAAAGCCTAACTAGTGGACTTGACCATGTAAGACGTGTTAGACTTCCTGGATGGGGTCCAAGAGACCCTTCCACTCAATGGTTGCACACGTTGGAGGATATGGTTAGATACCGCGATCAGTGGCGCTCTTGCGTTCACAGACTTTCTTCCACTAATGTAGTTCTCCTCTTACTCTTTTCATACTCTTTTCTCCTTCTTTATTTCCTTTCGAGGTTGCTGCTAGGAGATAGCAACCAAAGCCGCCGCACCCAGTGCATAGTTAATGGTTTTCTGGACAGAACAGAACAGATGGTGCTCTAGCGGTTGCCGGAAGATGAAGATTTGATCGATACATCCACGACCGGCACGAAACCCAGGTTGGTCCTCGCGAGTCAGCTGTTCAAGCATTTGGTGCGGTTTTCAGAGCATGCCAGATTCAAACAGCTTCGACACTGTTGGGATGAGACTTACACCCATGATTACACATATGGTTAGCACAATCATCGCGCGAGTCTTTCTTAAAGATGGAGACAACCATTGATTTCCCCAGCAAGGACGGAACCTGCTCAGAATCCGAACTTTTGAGAACAAAGCATTAAGTTCTCTAACCAGCTGCACCTCACCATTTTTAAAAAGAGCTAGAGGAAGGCCATCGAAGCCCGCCGATTTGTGACATTCTAAGGCTTGGATTTCCCCTCAGATTTCTGCCTCAGTAGATGGATCTGTCGAAAAGCACCGCTGGATGTCTACTGGAAGTTATAGATGCTGACCTGAGAGCCAACTCAACTTTGTCTGAAAGTGCTCCGCCCAGCGATCGAGACGCCGCTTCTGAATTGCCGATTGGTCACCTTCACGAATTGTTTCACTCGCAACTTATAGTTTCCTACCGGTGACTAGAATGAAATAGAACAACTTATGCTCAAGGTCCGAAGTGAGCCGTGTTACAAGGACACAACGGTCATAGTCGATGTTGGCGGTGGCACGATAGGAGGTGGGATACGAAAGAGGGCAGCAAAGGGTGGCGTCAGTGGCAAAGGTATGGATGAGGTTAGAAGTGGTGAATAAGAGATCATTAGTGAAAAGCAGAAATATGGTGGGTAAAAATACAGAACCTTGGGAAACACCAGCACTTACGGAAAAAGGCTCTGATTGCGCCCCATCAACTCGAACGGAGATGGTCCGGTTTCTGAGAAAACTTGACATCCACAAGACAACGTATGGAAGAAACCCAAAAGTGGGTAATTTAAACAGTAAACGTTTGTACCAGACACGGTCAAAAAGCCTTCGATATATCTAGTGAGACCAGGTGTGTTTCTCCGTGGTTATCGAGTGCTGCTGACCAGGAGTGCGAGACCATAACCAGTAGGTCACCAGTGGAACGATGAGGTCGGAACCCGTGTTGACGGTCGTTGAGCAGTCCTTCATTTCCGAGGAACGGTAACAACTGGTCAAAAGTTACGGTTTTCATGACTTTCAAAATCACAGAAGTTAGGGAAATAGGACGGTAGTTGTTCGGTTGGTGGAGTCGCCGTGTTTGGGGACAGGAAATATTATGGCTTCTTTCCATGAGGTGGGAAACGTACCAGATTGGAGAGAAAAGCAAAAAAGATGACGTAAAATTGGTGCTTACTCTGGGGCACACATTTTCGAGAAGATGGCTCGAATACCGTCCGGACTAGGTGGTTTATTTTGGTAGAGTGGTTTTAAAGTCTGATGGACCTTTCTGGTTGTGATAAGGGGAATAAAAGCGCGGCTAGTAAGTGTGTCTGGGAGGTGGGAGAATAGAGGAGTTGGGTAAAGTTGAATTAGAGGCAAACCTGGAAGCAAAAACCTCGGCTTTCTCATAGGATTCACAGACTGAAAAGCCTGCGGAGTTAGAGATGGGGGAGAAATTGGAGAGGAAAATTATGGGAAACGGCTTTGGCGAGAGACTAAAATGTCCGGCTACCAGTAGCGGAAAAAGCTAGACGTTCATCTTTGTGGCGAATGAAACGATCCTTGGTTTTCTGAATGGAAAGCGAGTATTTGCTTCTGGCCTGCACGGAGAGACTACGATTGGACAGTATCGGAGAGGCACCACCTTCTGAATGCTAAGTTCTTTAAACGCACAGCGTGATTGCAAGCATGGGTAAACCACTCAGGGGAACGTAGTTTTCCGGGCTTGGAAAAGTGTGGAATAGAAAGAAACATGCCTTAAAGAACAGCCTCAGTAAAATATAAAACGGAAGAAGAAATATCAGAAGTGAAACAACAATCATCCCAGGGATATGAGGTCAGAAAAATCACGAAAACCATCCCAATTGGCTGAATCGTAGTGCCAGAAGGTACGTATAGAGTTGCACGTACGAACAGGCCGAGAATATGTGGTGGAGAAGGAGATAGGTCAGTGGTCCGATGAGACAAGTGGGGGATTGGAGGTAATACCAGAGAATAATGAGGGGAAGAAAATAAGATCGAGAGCATGTCCACAATCGCCGACCTAATCGAGAATGCGCGTGGGGAAGTCAACGAGTTGACTTAGATTGTTGGCCAAAGCGAAAGCTTCGGCTCCGCGTCCCACAGTCGTAGTGTCAAAAGAGTGCAAAAGCCTGTTCTTACTGTGGACATTAAAGTCACCAAGAATGCTAACTTGGCAACTGGGGTCTGATACGAACAAGTTCTCACCGCCAGAAGATAATAAATAAAAAGTAAGTGGTCGCTACTGTTGAGACAGAGAAAAACGGTACAGAAGTAATGCTTAAAAGAAAGGAACCGGAGCTTCAGCCACATCAGCTGGAACACGCGGTTGAAGAAGTCCAAGTGTGGGATATGGGAGGTAGTGACTGACTGGTGGATGTAGGCACAGACGCCAGCTTTAGATAAAAATGAGGAACGGGAAAAGTAGTTCAAAAACTGTAGATGGGTAGTGTCCGATGCGCAAGAGATTTGCGTCTCAGTCGAGAATAGGGCAGGCGGGCAAGAAGATTGGGAATGATGAACATAACCAATATTGTGATTCAAGCCGCAAATGTCGATGAGAGTAGAGGTTTTTCTTGTTGCGAATATTGAATAGACATCAGCGATGGTTTTTTGTGAATTTTGAATTTCATGAGTGTTGTCTGCAAAACCGGCAACCTAACCCTGGAGCTTTCAGCGGAGAATCACACAAGGCTCTAATAGGAAAGGCGGTGGTGCTAACCCAAGCGACGGCAAGGCCGTCTGCTACCATCTACAGCCTCAGGCCATCTCGTAAATCTATCGATGAACATTAACAAATAGGTACACTCGTGTGATGGGGTCAACTGACCCACTGTGTCTACTTAAGTGTGATCAAAGCGAGCACCAGGCGCAGCGAAAGTACCGATAGACGAAGCTAAGTGCCTATACACTTTAGACTGTTGACATCGTAGACATTGTTTTGCCCACATACGAATATTTTTGTTCATAGACGGGTAGACCTATCGCGCAGCGACTTGTCGGAGACTGGTTGCGATGTCTGGATGTGAAAGTTTATGTAAGGTTTCGAACACGAGACGGCGATATAAAGAGGGTACGACCAATCGAAGTAGGCCAGTAGACATGTCGCAGAGTATAGTACAGGCACTAGTGGCCAGTGGCACTGACTGACACTGTAGCGACGATGACCGAACATTTTCCACGTATGACGTACTCTGTGCCTGTGCTGCGGCCATGACAGGAATGTCTAGGACAGATTTTATAGCATAAAGCTGACTACGGAACTAAGCATCTGCAAAGCATTTCGACTCACCTTTAACGCATCGCAAGTCAGCCGTGAACTGAGAAATATGGTCCGAATGTCTGAATTCTCGTGGGGAGTAACGGCCATACGCAGTATGTAGTATCAGAGAGTGTGGTCGGTGAACAGGATAAAATATTGTCCCTCAACTGCGTTGCGGAAATGTTTGACGGCATTAGATGCGGCCAACAGTTCAAGACCGAAAGCATTATTTTTCATTTCCGTGGGACTGAGGCGTCGAGAGAAAAATTCTGGTGGTTACCAGATCCTGGAAACAAACTGTTGCAGAACCGCCCAGATAGCAAAGTCGGATGCATCCACCGCTATGTTAAGCGTGGCGGACGGAATTGGGTGCATTAACAGCATGCTCTGTGCTAATGTCGCTTAAATCTCTGAGAACGTTACTTGTGCGACATGCGTAAGCGGCAACTTACGTGGATTGTAACGAAGTAGGTCAGTTAATGGAAGTAAACGTTCAGCGGCATGGGGTATGAAAACACGACATAAGTTAACTGGCCCCAAAATTGCTTTAAGCTCCTTGACTGAGGACGCCGCAACGTAATCTAGAATAGCACGCACTTTATCCTCGCAAGATCTAATAGCCTCTCGAGTGACCTTGTGGTCGGGGAAAACGAGTTCCGTTTTGCCAAATTCACATTTATCGGGATTGATTACTATTCGATGTTCAGACAGATGTTGAAACAGTAGCGTCAAATGTTGGGAATGTTCATCTACGCTCAACGATGCGATTAACAAGTCATTGATATAGACGTGAACAAATTCCAAGTCTCGTGTAATACTATCGACACACCTTTGGAATGTCTGAGCAGCATTCGCAAACCAGAAGGCATACGTAGGAATTCGAGCAGACCAAAAGGACTCATGACAGCAGTTTTCTCGAAATATTCAGCGGCGACTGATATACGGCGATATGCTCGTACCAAATCGATCTTAGAAAATGCACTCGTGCCGTGAAGTGCTGCCGTGATGTCATATGTGGGGTATCGGATAGCTAAAGTAACGAGTAACCGAGCTTAGGGCGCGATCGGCGCCACACGGTCATCAGCTAATGCCATATGTTTTAGAACCATGTGTAGAAATGAGACCCATGGATTGTGGGAAGGACGAGCAATGCCTTAAGAAAGTGGCATCAAACCCACGTTTGGCGAAAGTCGGTTTGGCTGGTGCCAGTCGGCGAGGTCGTGCCGTGGTTAGTGGTCCGTTAGTGACAATGTGGTGTGCCACGCGACCGGTTACTGCATCTATCTCTTCAAATGTTTTGGTCAAAGTGGGGAATTAGATAAATAAAGACTGAAGACCATGAGGAATGTTGGAAAACAAACCCGTGATTGGGTGTGCATCTGCTCGAGCCGCGAGATCCGTAAAGAGAAGACTCGGGTTTTCTTTATTCGTTTGATAGAGGAGGTTTTGTTGGAAAATCGTAGAGACCTCATAGAAGACGTTCACAAGCCGCGCTCGAACGTCTTCCACAAGCCGATTAACCCCCGTCTGTGACTTTTTCGACTGCACATTTTGCGCACGCGGTAACCGCTAGCGCTAATTCCCAAGCACTTTCTTGGCATAAGCCAGCGTGAGGTTTTCGTATTTAGGCCCAGTGAGAATACACGCGCATGACACACACCGGTCTTTTTTCATTGTTCGCCTCGCCGAACGCGATGGCAGTATTTGAGGGAATGCGCCACCAATAGGGACTGAAGGCTACTGGGAACAACTGTTCTCTATTGCCTACAGGCGCACGTAGCGAGAATGAACTTCATTGTTTATCTAAACGCTTGCTGCCAAGCGCGGTGGCCATTTGACCGTTGCTCGTGCACGCAACACGCACGCTCTCCCAATATACGCTCTTCACTCTCACCATCGATAGTGTTCTCCTCATGGGCTGTGGGAAACACTGCTCTGATGATCGTGGTGGCCTAATGCGGAACATCACAGTGACAGACAGGTGGTCAACTCAACAAAAAGGACTGGCGAATGCGTAATAACGAAACAGCGCGATAAGGTTTAACCAACATCGTAGGGATCTTATACCCCCGTCTAACCTTTATTTATATGTACTTTTCGTGCACGCGGTAAACGCAAGCGCACCTTCCGTCACAACTCCCCGGCGCATGCCACTGTCTGGTCTCTGCACGTTGCCCTTTACCAAATGCAAGCGGTTGGCAACCATCAGCCTTATTCCCGTCTCCGCACTTGACGAACACTGGTCGCACACGCTGAGAAGTAGCCTTGCAACAATAACATTACACGCAATCTCGGTGACCTGATCTATGCGATACACATTATCCGAGATGATATGGGTGTTGACCTGCAGTTGGAACTTTCGCCCAGAAATAACCACCACACCCGAGGGTATGTGCTCGTGCTGCGAAAGCTACCTTCCACCGGCCTGCCGTTGGCATACCGCTTATCCAGAAGTGGTCAACCTCTCAAGCGATCTCCCTGGTAA